ATTTCCCTTTTAACTGTGATTCTAAATGACAACCCTTAACAAGGCAGTATGGAAGAAGAATGATTAAGAGACCAGCATTCCTAAAATGAAGTAAGCATGTAAGATACTAGCCTGTCATATGCAGCAATCATAAAGTTGAGGAGGAGGCTGATAGACTGTTCCACGCTGATTTGGTGAGTAGAAGGAAGGCGCTTGTTCAACTGATAGTAGATGGATGAGATGACAGTTTCCAGGCGGGACACACTGATCTCGGTGGTATGGTCCAGCGTATTAAGGCCATTGTCTCGGAAGGCTTCAATCATGTTCCAGATATCAACAAGATGAACTAAGAGACAAAGAAAATAAACTTTCAACAATTTTAAAGCATGGTACCACCTTCACAATTGGACACTTGAATTTGTCAGTTAATTTTTAGGTTCAAAGAAAAGAAACTCTTTAGCCAACAATGAGAAAAACATTCTGTGGCAGAATAAAGAACATCAGTCCCAGACAACATCAAGGAGCCATTATAGCAGTCCGAGACTGACTACCTCCACAGTTCATATTTAAACAACCAGTATTTCAGGTCTATGGAAATAGTGACCCATGCAATTCCTAACGACAGGTAATTAGAAAAAAAAGATGAAAAACTACTCATAAGAACTTCTAGCCTTTTTAGAAATTTGCTACATCACCTTGAATTCACTTTATGTTACTTCAGCCTAGAAACTTCAGCAACATTAACAATTCAAATTTTTCTCTCTGCAGCCCTAAAAATAAAAAAATACAACTGCATTAAGTAGACCACTATTTTCGAGTATTAAGGTAGGCTAGGTACCTGGGTTTACCCTTCTCTTGAAAATAACTAAAATTCCTGGATGAAACATAAAAATATCTTCTTTAGTGCACTGGTGACTCTGAGCACTGGTGAAAAAAATAAACAATATTCAATCAGACAGAAAAGAGACATTTTCTTGAAAGAAAAATAGTAAGAATGACATTTGACTTCAAGCAACAAAGGAAGCAGAAAACTGAAAAATAATTTTATTGTGCTAAAAAGAAATTATCACCAACTTTAAAGTCTATACTGAGCAGAAAAAACTTTCTAGAAAAAAGGATCAATAAAAACATTTCCAAATAAACAAAATCTAAAAGTATACTTTCCAACACTAAAGAACTGGGGGGAGGAATTGAAATGAAAATAGAACTGATCAATCCAAAAGAAGGTGGAGAAACATAGAACAAGTAGTACAAATAGAAAGCACAAAATAAGATGGCTGGTATGCATCCAAATATATCAGTAATTGCAAGAAATATAAATATACTAATATACCATTTAAAAGACACAAGACTGGACCAGGCGTGGTGGCTCATGCCTGTGATCCCAGCACTTTGGGAGGCCAACGTGGGAGGATCACATGAGGCCAGGAGGTCGAGACCAGCCTGGATAACATAGTGAGACCCCACCCCTACGAAAAGTAAAAAAAAATTAGCCAGGTGTGACAGCACATGCCTCAGCTACTTGGGATGACAACTTCTAACCAAAAGAAAACTGATGTAACTTTATAATACACAAAAAAATGGGCTTGGAAAACCACATGATCGTCTCAACAGACACAGAAACAGCATTTGACAAAATCCAACACACTTGCATAATAAAAACACAACAAACTAAGACTAAAAGGAAACTTCCTCAACCTGATAAAAGGGCATCTACAAAAAAATCCCACAGCTAACATTACACTTAATGGGGAAAGACTGAAAGCTCTCACCTCAATGTCAGGAACGAGACACCCTAAAGTATAAGCAACCAAAGAAGAAATAAATAACATTGCACTTTATTTGAATTAAAAACCTCTGTGCATCAAAGGATTCTATCAAGAAAGTGAAAAGGCAACCTAAAGAATGGAAAAAACATATGCAAACCACATATCTATTAAGGGCCTAGGATGCAGAATATATAAAAACTCCTACAATTTAATCAAAAACCTAAAAGACAATCCAACCAAAAAAATGGGCAAATAATTTAAGTAGACATTTCTCCAAAGAAGATATACAAATGGCCAACAAGCACATGAAAAGATCCTCATCATCATTAGTCATTAGGAAAATGCAAACGAAAACTACAATGAGATACTTCACATCCACTAGAATGGCTATCATTTTTTTAAATGGAAAATAACAAGTGTCACTGAGGATGTAGAGAAATGAAAACTCTCATATACTGCTGATGCAAATGTAAAATCATGCAGCCGCTTTGGAAAACAGTTTAGCCATTCCTAAAAAAGTTAAACATAGAGTTACTATATGACCCAGCAATTCTATTCCTAGAGAATTGAAAACATGTTCATACAAAAACTTGCACACAAATGTTCATAGCTGCAGTGCTCATAATAGCCAAATATCAAACAACCCAAATGTCCACCAACTGATGAATGGATAAACAAAATATAATATATGTATACAATGGAATATTATTCA